TATGCAACAGTAAAACATGGCTTTTAACTTTGTTGTAGGGCTGCATGATTAATCAAAAAATGATTGCAAACTCGATTCACTTAATTCAGCTTTTCTACAATTTAGCCATTTATATTTTCAAGGTCAGGAGAGAAGTGTAAAGACAGTCGCAGAAGTCTTTAAATTGTTTTATTTACGTTACTCAGCACCATGGACACCTCCAAATTGCGTTAAAAGTGTCACATACTGTATTCATAAGGTATAATTCACACAAAAAGTTATTTCTGTCTTAATGTAATGATGAAAGCTAATCATGGCCGCGAAATCACAAGCTGATGCAGTTTGTTTACTACCAAGAGGATGCGAGCGTGCCCATCAATGACATCTACTTTAGTGAACAAAACCTGCATAGGCTGTAAATAACAGCTAATAAAGCTGAAAAATAACTTTCGGTTTGTATGGTTTGAATGTATGTTTTTTTTTTTCTCAAAGTGACGACAGCCATGACATGAGTGCACTCGGCAGTGAAAGTGAAACTGAAAGTATTCACATCATTTAAATGATCATATCGCATTTCACAGTTATGATTACAACAAGCACTGGATATGTTTTTTCTTTCATAGCGAAGTGTTGTGCATGGCTGCATACAAATACATTTTAACAGGGTCGGTATAACTACTCTAGCCTATATAATGTTGAGCATTATGCAAGAAGAAAATCTGATAATGCTGCCTGATCATACGGGAAAAAACATAAGTATTTTACGTTGTCAATTTAGTGGCTAATTTGTATGAATTCGTAAGAGTTCAGTCGTACAAAATTGTACGATTTTAAAAAGGAGGCGTGGCACCCAACCCCACCCTTAAACCCAACCATCAGTATAGGATAAGCAAATCATAGGAATTAGATCATACAAACTCATACGAATTAGCCACTAAATCAAAAAGTTACGAATTGCCATGAGATTGTGTCGGATAATGACAAATGTTTCATTATAACAGTAAAATAAAATGGTCTAATAATGTTGTCAATGACAAGCATATGTCTCAATAATTTAACATCAGAATTATGAATGGTTGTATTCTTATGTCATCACTTTACTGTGAATTAACAAACAGGATATCTCTCTAAGTCTATATCAAATTTAGCCTTTTAATCAACAGTAGACCCACACACAGGCCTAATATTATTATTGTTGTTTTATAATATTTCTGGGAAATAACAATGACATTAGCCTACTTATATTAACAATTATTTTATCTACAGAATCGCGAGAAAATCATGATCTTTATTTAAAGCAAAAACAAATCATGACTCTCATTTTAGCCAGAATCATGCAGCCTGACTTTGTTATCCTAATGCTTTCTTTTTTCTGAAATTACATAAAACCTTTTGGTTATAACATTTTTACAATAATGTATCTGATATTACACACTGCATTATTTAGCATGCTATCGCATATCTCATTTTTCAACATTGCACAGCCCTACTGGGTATGTCCATGGATACTGCATAGTGAAACATGTTCTGCTCCTTTCAACAGGATTATTTTACACTTTCATTCACACATGATGCTGTGGGAGACGCACTAATAATGCGAGTACCAGGAAGCTAAAAAAAAAAAAAAAACCTGGACATCCAATTACACAAGCCAGACTAGAGAGTCAGAATTAACAGCCATAAATTTTTACATAAACACATGCAGCATATAGATGCCACAACAATATTTCACTACAGTTTACTAAACACAATCCAGCAACGTCACGCATGTTAGCCGCAGAGTTTATTTGATGCTGTAAAAAGGCTTGTACCTTCCTGACAGATATTATGAGACAACACGACTGTGACAGACAGCATGTAATGGCAAACATTCAGGTCATAACCGCCATGTCTCAAAATCATCACAATATAGATAACAGATGCCTGAATTAAGATTATCAGGTCAAATCTGATCAATTGTGAAAATTCAATTCTACCATAAATGTCCAAAAGTGTGTCTGAAAGATACTGGTATACAAAAAAAGTCATGAACACCCGTTTTAAAGTGAATTGTTTTAAAACTCACTTTAATATGTTACAGTTGGATATAATGCAACATACTTTGTGTGCGCACCTGACCTGAACCCTTACATTTTGGAATCTTCAAAGCTAGAAATTGGCCATCTCTACAGAACAAAATTAATAAAGGTAAAAAAACATCTGATCAAAGCAACATGGAAGTTTTTGCATAAGCACTCCAATGTTGTAGAATTTACTAAACAGCAGAAGTTAACTAAAGAAGATTTACACCTCAATAAAACTGGTGTCAAGCACACTACATGGTACGTCACTGCCACAGACCACAGAAAGGTCATAGAGGTTTTAAAAGCCCATCGAGCCTAAGTACGCTTGGGGCTTCGGCAAACTGCATATTCCAATGGTCTCAAACTCAATTCCTGGAGGGCCGCAGCTCTGCATAGTTTAGCTCCAACCACCTCCAACTCACACCTGATTAATAGTCTCTAGTAATCTTGAACATCTTGATTATTTGAATCGGCTGTGTTTAATTGGGGTTGGATCAAAACTGTGCAGATCTGTGGCCCTCCAGGAATCGAGTTTGAGACCTATGGCATATTCATATAATTATTGTCAATATTATACATACTTTTGTTACTATTTTTTTTTTATTAACCAAATTACAAAATAAAGTTGTTATTAAATATATTTGTTACTGAATAAATATTAATTTCATAAAATGAATTACTTTATGTTCTTGGTATTTACACACATTAAAGCCGGGGTGTCAAATTCATTTCCGGGAGGGCCCCAGTCCGGCACAGTTTAGTTTCGGCCTCACTGCACTTTTCTCCCCATAGACTTCAATTTATACACACACGAATGCGTCAGACTGGAAACGCAAGCTTATGTGAAAAGTTTAGCAGTTCGCTACATTGGAAAGTTCAAGCTTGGTGAGCTCTGACCTGCGAAATCACATCACATGATGGCGTGAGACCAATTGAAGTTGAAAACATGACCTCTCTGGACAGAAAATTAATATATGGACCTATCGCTCGCTTTTTTTTATGTCTAACCATCTTGTTTAATCCTAATCGCAGCGCCGTACAACAGAATTACGCACGCACAAACTCTAGCGTGACCGCAGTATTACCTTTAGGTTTCAAACAAGCCTGAAGGACTTAACTAAAAAATTAGTTGGATTAGGTGTGTTTAATTAGGGTTGGAAATAATGTGCAGAGCTGTGGCCCTCCAGGAGTTTGACACAATGCATTAAAGGGACAGTTCACCATTTACTTTATAAATTTCTTCTCTTAAACATAAAACAAGATTTTCTTAAGAATATTCAGCCATTGACATAAAAAACAGCTATTGACATCCATAGTATAAATGTAAAAATACTAAAGTCAGTTGCTTTCTCTGACATTCTGACATTCTTCAATAAACCTTTCTTTCTGTTCAAAAGAAGAAACAAACTCAGTTTTAGAGCAAGTGGACTTTCATGGCAGAATTTAGATTTTTTATGTGAACTATCCCTTTAAAAGCTCATTGAAATAGTGTTTTTTTTTGCTCATTGAATCTTTGGATTAGTTTTAAGAAAAAGCTAATATATTTACTATATAACACAGGGGTGTCAATTTCAGTTCCTGGAGGGACGTTGACCTGCAGTCTAGTTCCAAACCTGCTTCAACACTCTTACCTGTGTGTTTCAAACAAGCCTAAAGAATTCAATTAGTTTCATCAGGTGTGTTTAATTAGGGTTGCACTAAACTGTGCAGAGCTGCGGCCCTCAAGGAACTGAGTTTGACACCTGTGATCTAATGCAGTGTTTCTCAACCACATTACTGGAGGACCACCAGCTCTGCACATGTTCCTAGACTGTCTCTTAATTCCTAGAACGCTGAGAACAGAGAACGCATCCTGTGAGAAATGAGATGCTGTGTTCTTCCCTGGGTCTTCCTGATGGTGACGTGACCTTCACATGTTTTTAATGGAAAATGGTTTAAACATTACAGCATTCCTACAACAACGATTTATTGTTTTCCCCCATTCACAATATATACTATGCATTAAAAAAAACTTGCAAATATATGCTTCACAATACAAATAAAACTAATTTTAACACGAATTTCAACAAGTAAACACCCTTTATGTCCTTATGCCATTATTATGATTTACATGGTAATGTTTAAATTCACCGTCTCATTTAGGGAAACTCCTGAAGTAAATAAGTTACATCTCTTAACTTTAATAATAAATCTAAATAAAATGCTGCGCTTCCCACCTCCTTCATACAGCCACAACGACTTCTGGGACTTCTCAAGCAAGTTTTGTGCTCAAGTCTGCATCGATGACTCTACGATATATCAAGAACACATCTGGCAACTTTCACGCGTCCTCCGTTCTTGCTGTCTTGAGTTTTGGAACTGAACATAGGCAGTTAATGACGACATTACAGAAGAACACGAGGACGCAGGATCGCTGAAAAACGCCTATTGAGAAACACCCCATGTTTCCTTAACCAAACACACCTGATTTAGATCATCAGCAGAGACTGAAAGACCTGCAATGAATGTAACAGATAAAGAAGACATCCAAAATATGCAGTGTTGGTGGTCCTACAGGAACGTGGTTGAGAAACACTGATCTAATGCAGTGGTATATTCAGCCATTAATTCCATCTTAATCTACTTTTGGGTGGGGATATTATCTATATAATCCTAGTACAGACAATTGTGACAACATTGACAGATAGATACAAAGAAAATCTTATTAAATCAAGAAAGATGTAGGTGGATATGTCAAACACTGAAAAAAATATTCATTGGACTTACTAACTTTTTTGAGGCAAGTGGTTGCAAACAATTTATATAGACAGAATTTAAACAAACTAAATGTAGTAACGTTAATTTGTTTAAATTCAGCTCATGCTAATTTTTGCAACCACTTACCTTAAAAAAATAAGTACATCTAATGAATAATGTTTATAGTTAACATCCAATCTATTGGTGAAACATCAGACTTACCTTGCCTGTCTTGTGGTCGAACCATACCAGAGCGTGATTCCTCGACAACACTTTGCAGTCGAAGGTGGCGTTGTTTTGGGCAGGGCGACACCGGGCCACGGAGCGCCCGATCTTGACCGGCTCATCCAGGTAAACATGGCGTTCCTGAAACGGGTGTGAATTCGGGCGGCAGGAGAACACGGCCAGCGCTGAAGGCATTGAGGATGGCTTGGGAGTGTTACTCCAACCAGAGACGAAAGACAGGGTTTCTTGATCCAGACTGACCTGTTGCTCCAATTCTTCCTAATGAATGACCAGCAGACCAACGCACATAGTAATACGAAAAAAATTCCAACTCTACAAAAAGACCCCTGCTAAACCGACTACATAACGTCAACAAGACTGTATATTTATACACTATGTAGATGACTTCTTGCCCCCTTGCGAGACCCCCATGTTGCCGAACCAAACCCAATACAGCTGCCCAATTCCATACAAATCTGTGTGTCCAGATGACAGTCCACAATTCGAGCTGTTATACTTCGTTCCCAACACAATTCATCCTCGTCCCCCTTTACAAGCATAGGCCTGGCCAGTAAACAACCCAGCAACTAGTACACCAATAACCTGTTGAATTGGTCAACCTTTACTCATAAAAAAAGAAGTATTACTGTCACGTTGACATGCGTGTCTATATTTAGAGGGAATGACTGCTGGGCACGAAATGCACTTGTGAAAATGCTAAACCGTAATGAAGATTAATAATGATGTGAGTGGGTTTGGCTGAAGTATGCAGAACAGACCATCAAGCCACCACTCCCCAAGACAGAGTAATTAATATTGAAAAATACCTCAAATGCCTACTTAAACAGACTTCAAATGCAAGTATTTAGCTGTCAGGATTGTATACAAGAGCACAGCTCGCGCGGAGGGTGTTTTCTTGCGCACGAGAGCGTTAGCTGGCTAACTTCATATTAGCTCGTTAGCTTCGCTGAGGTAACACTGGCCTTCTACTTTCACCTTATCGAGCCGTCCAAGCTGGAAGAGACTTTATAAATAACCCCGAGCTGATTTATCCCCGAAAACCAGCTATTTGTTCGGTCTGTGGAACTTTCATGCGCGGAGAATTTGCGTAAATCCAGTATTAGCTCGCGAGCTCGGTAACTAGCTTAGCCTGCTGAGAGACACAAAAATTTCCCCAGAAAAGAAAGTCATACACGAATAAAGTCCATGACACGGTCCCGTGTTAAGCCATGGAGGTCTCCGCTTTCCGGAACGCTGAAATCGGGAGGAAAATCGTTGTGTGCGACGGGATAATTGGAAGTAAGTCGTCCACTTGAAGAGATATACACACACATACACACCGGCCACAAACCGCCGCGGGGCTCGCGCACCACCGAGATATGGGGCGGGGCTTTGCGGTGACGCGAAAATGTAGGCGGATCCGCGTTTCCAGAGAAAAAGGATGACGTTTTTCATGCGGATTGAAAATAATGTTTGTTTGTTCATTTTTCGGATGCTATTTTTTTCTTTTGTAATAGCATTTCATTTACAATCAACAAGCAAGACAACAATAGGTAAAACAATTTGTTGAACAGACAAAAAAAGTATGGAGCCAGTCAGATCAGTCTCAAAAATAATACATGTACATAATAAAACTCCTCCATGCACAGCACAATTCACATTTACAACATCCAGTTTGTAAATTCAAAACACAACTTGTAAATACAACCAACAATTTGTAAATTTACAAGCAAAAATCATAAATACTTTCACCAACTTAATTAGATTTGTGTATTTTTGTATAGTGTTTTCAATTTACGAATTGGATTTGTGTATTTATGAATCACATTTTAAATTTACAAATTGTATTTGAGTAATTATAAATTGCATGTAAATTTATGAATTGAATTGAGTATTTTTGAATCACGATTTGTATTTACGAATCTGATTTGTGTAAATGAATCGCATTTTCAGTTTATGAATTGGATTTGTGTATTTATGAATCTTGTTTTGAATTTACTAATCAGATTTGTGTATTTATGAATCACATTTTAAATTGACTAATTAGATTTGTGTATTTATGAACCACGTTTTGAATTTACCAATTGTATTTGTGTATTTATGAATCACATTTTGAGTTGACGAATTGGATTTATGTATTTATGAATCACGTTTTGAATTTACGAATTGAATTTGTGTATGTATGAATCGCGTTTTGAATTGACGAATTAGATTTGTGTATTTATGAATCGCGTTTTGAACTTACGAATTAAATTTGTGTATTCATGAATCACATTTTAAATTTACCAATTGGATTTGTGTATTTATGAATCACGTTTTAAATTTACGAATTGTATTTGTGTATTTATGAATCGCATTTTGAGTTGACGAATTGTATTTGTGTATTCATGAATCACGTTTTGAATTTACGAATTGAATTTGTGTATTTATAAATCGTGTTTTGAATTGACAAGTTCGATTTGTGTATTTATGAGTCGCGTTTTGAATTGACGAATTGGATTTGTGTATTTATGAATCATGTTTTAAATTTACGAATTGGATTTGTGTATTTATGAATCGCGTTTTGAATTGACAAATTTTATTTGCTTATTTATAAATCGCATTTTAATTTATGGATTGGATTTGTGTATTTATGAATCGCGTTTTGAATTGACAAATTGTATTTGTGTATTTATAAATCGCGATTTTAATTTACGGATTGGATTTGTTTATTAATGAATCTCGTTTAGAATTTATGAATTGGATTTTGTAACTGTAACTTGAGTTGTGAATATATGAATTATATTATTTAAATGTAATATTTTTGAGACCAATCTGGCTTTATAAAAAGGGCTCTAACAAATAAACACAACAAAGAACAACAAAAAAGTCATCATACAAATAAAAGATTCACATAAACAAATAAAAAATTATAAACTAATAAACAAACATATGGCCTGATAAACAAATACCATACATTTTTAATTAAGATTTCCCATATACTTTTTAGTTCATACTTCTGTATATTTTTAAATGCATTTTTTCTGTCTTTATTTTTATAATTGTTTATTTCCACATCTATACCCATATTTACCTATACATGTACCTATATTATATCTATATTTTGCCTATATATGTTTATTTTAACAGAATATTCTTGCATCTAATTGTCTATAATAAATGTTATTGTTGCATATAATGTAAATTCTAGATGATTTACATAAAGTTGCATTTTAAAAGAACATTGAAAGAGTTTCCAAGCCACTTTTCCTTTATCTCAAGATGGCAATTATTGACAAAACAGACCACTTGGTGAACATAGACAGAGCAAAATGGATCCAAATCACCAGAATCAAAGCATTTTCAAGGTACATCTTCCGCTAGGCTTTGAGTAAAATTCACATAAAGGTATTTATAAATCATCTTTGGAAAGTATTTTAGTTTCAGGAAGAAGGAGAGGCTTTCAAAGCAGACCCCGCCCCAAGTCCCTCTGTTTGGACTTGGAATCTGTGGACTAAATTACACTGAACATCTGTCATACCAAATGGAGCATGCTGATTTGACTCTAATGTCTTGCTCAGACTAATCCAATTGTTTTGTCTCTTATGTGACCCATATGAAGTAATTAAGTGATCACTGTTGGAAAATCCATGAAAACAATAATGTGGCTCAATGATGCACCTGGGACATTATATGTTAAATGTCCATATATTAGACCGCAATATTAACTAGTCCCTGCTATGTTAATTTGATTGGAGACAACAGGGAGTCACCATGCAAGCGTGCCACAGAAATATACAACCAATACTAAACAGGCCTTAATCAAACTGTATTTGACCTAAAATATATATTGTATTGGATTAAGTAAATTAAATTAGACATAATTATGCAACTTCACTGTAACATGAATTCCTCAATTACACAAATTGAAGGTATTCAGCTTGGTGGTGCATTTTTTTATTAGGCCCACTTGGAATCTGCGCACACAGAAATCTGCCGACTTCCGCAGATTTTTAGCCCATCAAAGAGTTTATTTATTTACTTGTGTAAATGTTTGTACATTTATATTTATTCAGTTTTTAATTTAATTTTAGTAATGGTATTGACTAATATGAAGGTGTTAATTTGATTTATTAACAATACAGTTTGTAAAGTAATCTTGTCTTTTAGTAGATATATTATCTTTTAGTGGCGCAGTAGGTAGTGCTGTTGCCTCACAGCTAGAAGGTCGCTGGTTCGAACCTCGGCTTGGCGTTTCTGTGTGGAGTTTGCATGTTCTCCCTGCCTTCGCGTGGGTTTCCTCTGGGTGCTCCGGTTGCCCCCACAGTCAAAACACATGCGGTACAGGTGAATTGGGTAGGCTAAATTGTCCGTAGTGTATGAGTGTGTGTGTGTGAATGTGTTTGTGAATGTTTCCCAGAGATGGGTTGCCGCTGGAAGGGCATGCGCTGCGTAAAAACTTGCTGGATAAGTTGGCGGTTCATTCCACTGTGGCGACCCCGGATTAATAAAGGGACTAAGCCGACAAGAAAATGAATGAATAATACACTTGCCTTAAATACTGTACATAATTTCAACAGTTCTGTATAAATAAATTCTGAGAAGCAGAGTAATCGTATGTTTTATTATACACTCTCAGAAAAAAGGTACATGGTGGTAAAGAGCTCTTTATGATACTGTTCTGTACCTTTTATGGTACATTTGAAATGAATATACACACTTGTTCTCATACAAAAAGGTACATAAGAGTTAAACAGCTCCTTCTTTATTACAATATCTATGAAAATAAGTATGGCTGGAAAGGCAAAGTGATTTAATGAATAATTTTTTATATTAAAACATGAATCATCATTTAAAAGCAAATGTTTAAAAAACTCATAAACATTAATTATTAAGTTCTATAATACAAAACAACTGGTAAAACAAAACTATAGGTATTGTAAACTAAACATTTAAGGCATTTTTAATAAACATTTGGAGAGCATTTTCTGATAAACACAGTTTCATTATTGATATCTGCACCTTGTGGCGTTTGCTTTTCACTACACACCTGAGCTGGCAAAAGTCCTGCAAATGTGAAGTGTTCATGCTGACATTTTAGTAAACTAATCAAACATTGTGCATATCTCATTACAATACTCTATTTCTATTTTGAAATTAAGTAAATTAAATGAACTTTTAAGTGTTTACAAAGGTGTTGAGTGAAAATTGGAGAAAAAAGTTTTACATTGTACATGGGAGAATGAGTTTCTGTAACATTTTTGTGAAAAGTGCTGTGAAATATTTAGCAAAAAATAGATCTTTTGAATGATGTTTAAGTATTTTTTATTCTTTATTGTAAATGAAAAAAGGTGTATTTACACATAAAGTAACTTAAAAAAGCATTGCTTAAAAAATTTATTTGATGTTTTATATTTACTGAAAATAAATCAACACATTTTGGATAAAGAAAAATGCCTTTAAGTAGTTCTTGAAGGAGCACATTTGACACTGTTAAGGTACAGAGTGTCTTGTCACTGTAGTGGTGCCTTCATGGATCAGATTTGTACCTTTGATGAAGCTACAATACTATATTTGCAGATTTTAAAACCCAAAGGTACATTTTGGTTTCGCATGATACAAAATGCCAATACAAACATCTCTGTGGTTGCGTGCGCGCTCCCGCTCAAATCCTCACTTATGACGTTGCGACGCGCTCCACGCAAGCCCCGCCTCTTTCATCCTGGACGTGTTTGTATTTACAGCACAAGTTCCTCCAGCTTTCATCAACAAACCGAGCCCGAATTCTCTTGGACCGAACTGAAGGTGTCACCATGGCCTTTCAGGGGTCCGAGGGACTGGAAGAACAGCTCGAGGAGCCGGAAGACACCCTGAGAGTCTCCCCGGCAGAGGAAATGCCTATCGACGGGCCTCCAGCAGTGGGGGACCCCGAGCCCGAGCCGTTACTTTTACCTTGGGATCGTTTCTCCTCCTGGCTACATTGCATCTGCGTGGTCGGCTTCGATCTAGAGCTCGGACAAGCTGTGGAGGTAAAGCAGTCTTTTTGTACTGAGTCTCTTTTCTGTTTGGTTGTTATCTTTGGCTTAGCCTGCTAGCCGGATAACTGTGTGGAAGTCCATGGGAAACCTGCTAGCGTCAGTTGCTAACACAAACAGTTGAGTCATCAAAAAGTATTGTATAAAACATTAGAAATGCACGATCTGGTGCTCGGACGAGCTGTTGGGGTACATTGGGCTTTTTTACTCAGTCCTTTAACTCCTTTGTGTTCGGTTGTCATCCTTGACTTAGCTGGCTAGCTGTATTGAAGTCAATGGGAAACCTGCTAGTTTCAGTTGCTAACAGAACAGTTGAGTCATCAAAAAGTATTGTATATAAACGATTAGTGCTGCACGATATTGAGGTACAATTCGTTTTATATTCACACATTCATTCTCCTTAATAACATAATATCAGAAAAGTAGACTAAAAGGTGAAATCATATTAGCAGCAAATGACTATCGAAGTACAGCATTGCTCACTGCCGATTAAATAGTGCTAATGTTGTTTTAAAGTCATACTTGCATGTGATTACAGACCGAATATTCAAAGTATCTTGGTAAACAATATGGGGAGCATGTAAAAAGTTGTCACTGAACGAATGTGCGAAGATAAAATCAACTTTACCTCAATCTGCATAATATTGGAAAAATCTGACATTGCAATATTTTGTTTTGCTTGGATATATATATATATATATATATATATATATATATATATATATATATATATATATATATATATATATATATATATATATATAAATATATATATATAAATAAAATATCTCTTTTTGGAAAGATTTTATGAATTTATATAGGTGAGATCAAGTATTATTCTGTGCAGGAATTGGCATAAAATATATACAATTATATGCATATAAATACAATAGAGCAAAAATAAAAGTTAAATAAATAGTGCTGTGTTGTTTTCTAACAGGAGGTCTAACAGTATTCAAATACAGAAATTGAACAATCAAGCATAAAATAATATAGTCGTCATTGTATAGATAATTTTCTACAATAATATTTAATAATATCTTTCTTTTAATCTTATATAAATAATCTAATCCAGTCACGTTGCTATTGCGGATACAAACATTGCCATATCGATGCTCAAAAAAATATTGTTCAGCCCTATAAAACAACCATAATTATTCATGTGTATCTTTTAATTAATAAAACAATTATGTAAATATGAATCCAAAATCAAACAAAAAGTGCTCACGGGTAGCTTAAATAATGTGTCGGTGATCTTTAGGTAAGGGGTTCATCAGAATAAACAGCACAAATCAGTCCAAGGCACTCGAAAAATGTGAAAAAATATTAAAAAACCTTGAGTGACATGGCTATTCCTTAAAACTGCGATCATGGGAGCTCAAATATTCTAAAGCACAATTGTTTCAGATGTACTGAAAGCTTCCAGACAATATTGATTGCAACTTAAAAACTGCTGTACTATAAAACTGCACTTACACCAAACTGTAGCATCAGCTCATATAAACATATGTTCTCCTCTATTCAGTGTAGATATGCTTAAGAAATATGTAATTTGCAAAAATCAGTTCAAGGCACTCGAAAAATAAGAAAAAAATCTCAGTTTTAAGGAATAGCCATGTCAATAAAGGCTTTTTAATATTTTTCCAAAATTTTCTAGCGCATTGGACTGATTTTTGCTAATTATATTTATGTTATTTTAAGCCCATCTACACCGAATAGATGCATATGTATATATATTTTGATGCTACAGTTTGGTGTAAGTGCAGTTTTCTAGTACAGCAGTTTTTAATGTAGTAATCAATATTGTCTGGAAGATTTCAGTACATCTGAAACATTCGGCTTCAGTATATTTGTGTCATCATGATGTAACTTGCGGTTTACTATGGTAAAGCTAATGTTTGCAAGGTAAAGCCAACTGTAAATAGTGCTTAGTGTTGCCTCTAAACACATTAGTCTAATCACGCTGAGTTACTAAGCACAGGGTTTCCACAGGGTCTTAAATCTAAATAAGTCTGAAGTTTAAATATAGCGGCCTTAAAATATTATATTTACTTAAGTATTTTATTCTATGTCAGCTTAATTCTATCTCTAATACTAATTTTAATGCATTAACAGTGCTTTAATGTATATATTTGTTCCTGATTCTAATATAATTAGTTGTATTATGACTGCAAATTAGACCAACATTGTGGTATTGGTCTTAAATTTCATTCATAATGGTCTTAAAGTCTTAAAGTTGACTTAAACCTACAGAAATCATTCAAGTAGCAGTGACTGGCATGTGCATTTAATAAATAGTATTCTTACATTTTCCATGTTGTTCTTGTTCTTGCAGGTGATTTATCCACACCACTCCAAACTCACAGAGAAAGAGGTAAAAAGAGATTATTTATATTATGGTGTGGTTTTATATAAACATGATTAAACTATGAATTCAAGTGTTTAGTTATTGAGTGTAATAATGTTTCTCTTATTTCAGAAAACAAGTATATGCTACTTGTCATTTCCAGACTCCAATTCAGGTAAAATTAAAAAGGCTTTTAATGGTTCTTCCTCTATCTGTTGTAGATGATGATAAGATGCACATATGTTGTCAGCTGTTGATGCGAACACAAACGTGAGCTTAAATTTGTATTTATTTATTTATTTTGACTGTGAAAAGTTCAGAGTTAGATCACACTGTTAAAGGTGAACTCTAATTGAAAGGAAGTTTATTCACAGATGATGTCAGAACTTTGTGGTTGACAGATATGAACACTGATCAGTAAGCGTCTTTATATTCGATACTGGAGGTAATATTAAAATTCTGTCATCATTTATTCAAAATTCACTTGTTTCAAACCTTTAGAGATTTCTTTTTTTGTCAAATACATAAGCAGATATTTTGAAGAATGTGGAAAACCATTAATCATTGATTAATTTATTATCCTCCACTGTATTTTTTCTACTATGATTGTCAATGGTTACCGGTTTCCAACATTCTTTAAAATATCTTCTTTTGTGCTCAACAGAAAAAAAGAAACTCATAACAGATTGCAACCAATTAGAGCTGCACAATGGTGGGAAAAATGTAATATGTGTTGTGCTTGTTGAATATTATGATAACAATATTTCTTGCAATGTAACATTTCACCTAGAGAAATGTTATTTTTATTTATGTAACGTATAATAGATATTTCCTGATTTAACTAAATTAATTCAGGCAAAAAAATGTTAACGTGCAGAGTTTTAGAGTTTAAAACAGCAGGAAATGTGGAAAACCTCCGCAGATATTTAGGGCCTACTCACAGTATGCCATCTGAACCGTGCCCAGGCCCGTTTCCCGGATCTTTTGAGAAGTGTGAGTGCTCTGAATCGGGCTCAGGTACGGTTCACTTGGCCGGCCCTGGCCTGGTTGGAAGAAGTGTGCCTGAGCGCTGTTAACTTGAGCTTTGGCGCTGTACGCTTGTGTGTGAGTGCAAAACGTGCCTAAGCCTAAAACTGAAAGCGAGACGTGACTTTTAAGGGACTGTTTGATATGGATTTATTAATCATTCTTTCTGTTCATGTCATTGCAAGTCAAACGACTTAAACGAAATAACAGTAAGAAATCTCCACTGTGCTGAAGCAAAAGCATATACTAAACAGCGCATCATCGGTGACGTAAGCATGCAGAGGCCCGAATGTAATGCGAGTGCGGGCAGTCGGGGGAGACGGAAGGGGGGACAAGTGTGCTTTGGCCTGGTTCAAGGCAACTGTACATAGTGTGAGTATGCCCTCAGATTCTTATTGGCTGTTGTCAATGGGCTATATGCACAGCTAGTGTTTTTCAGCCAATGATGAACTTCTGGTGAAAGCTTTATGTGACTATTTTTAATTTCAAAAGGTTGCTTTTACACCATCAACTTTATAATATCATTCAAATATATTCAATTACATTAGCTGCAGGCCAGCGCAGAAATTCCATTGAAAATACTGGGGTAAAATGAATTTCCTATTTTAAAGACATGGCTCAGAAACATATAATTTAATGCAGTGCTTGTTGTTTGGTCTGATACCCATTTATATTGTATCTCAGCCAGGCAGTGAAGATAGCTAGTTGTATGGCAATTTTTGAATGGGATGACAATTAACCAGAAGCCCTGAGGCTGGCGGACTGAATTTAAAAGACTGTGTGCATATACCCAATTTCCTCTCTTTTCTCCAGTCAGTAGTATTTATGTTAGCTCTAGGTTCACCTTTGTGCAGCTCTAACTAATAGCAGAACAGCACCTACCTGTATCAGGGATAAAGGCTAGGATAAAGATGGTAAAGTCCCATCTGATTGGTTAAACTTAAACAAACTATCATGCAATGCACAAATGCTTGGCACAGAAAGTAAATGGAGTTTGTCGGAATAAATGTATCTCTGCAGTACAGATATTGCAAATACCCTTTGAAAATGACAAAAAGTCACAACAACAAATGCTTTTATGTTACTTTTTTTTCCAATATGTTTATTGATTTTTTTTTTCCTTTTTCACCCCATCAACTAGGCATACAGACAACAATGCAGCCTACACAGCACATATCTACACCGTTCTTATATATATATATATATATATATATATATATATATATATATATATATATATATATATATATATATATATATATATACACACACACACACACATATACATTTACACATTCAAATAGGTAAAAAAAATAAATAAATACTTTAAACAATTATAATAATTAAATTATACATATGACATAAAAATAATATAATAATAAAAAATTATAATAAAAATTAAATAAAAACATGTTTACAAACACACAATTTATAGTATTCATACATGGTTCCCAAAGATAGTCAAAGTCCTTCTGCTTGCTTTTGATATAAGTTAGTCTCTCCAGTCCAGTACAGTTCAATATTTCTTTTCTCCGCTTTTATGTTACTTTAACTTATTTCAATAACTTAATTGGGTTTCAATCTTTTTTTTTTTAAGTTATAAAAACTTTAACTTAATATTTTAAGTCAAGTTGGTTGATGTGAAAATAAGAAGTTAATTTGATTCAACAAAATTATTTAAGGCAGCTAATTCTTGCAGTTTTATCCCTGTAATAAAAATTTTCCAATACATTATGCAGTCCTCATGTTTTTTGACTCTTTCTTGACTGGTTTTAGGGCTGCATAATGTATTAAAAAGTTATCATTATCATGATAATACTGAATACAAATATCTTTGCTTCCTTAATTATCAGAATTTAAATGCATTTCTAAAACCTGACATCTTTTTCCGCACTGTATTTGAGTTTTATCTGCGCTCAGAGTGTCTGTGTTGTGATTAAGCAGTTCAGTTCTAGTGTGTGACCTGTGTTTCCAGCGGTTATGGTTTGATCTAAAGGACTGTAATTCATCTGAGTGAGTACTATGACCCGTGTGTGTTCGCTAATGTGTGTGGGATGAGAGCTCGACATTCTCTCTCCAGCAACACTGCATGCATATTCAGAAAGCAGCTCACAGCGTGGGTTGTGGAGTACTATCTGACTCCTTTGTATTGTAGATATTAATGGACCGTCACTCACTGAGAAGGACAGTATTGTGATTTCATATTAGTAGTTGATTCGTAACAGTAAATATTCTGCTCTGGTTGCTATTAATAATGGAAAAGATGCATATTAATGAATCACACTTTTGACCTTTGGTTGAGATATCATTAACATCCTAGCAGCTTGCTAGGAGTTTTTAAAAGGCACTTTCCTCATTTATTTTATTTAAAGAATATATATTATTTCACCATCTTTGATAGTAAAACATAAAATAAATATATACAAAAATAATAAAAAATAATATTATAATAAATAAATAATAATAAAAATAAAATAAAAACTATTAAAAGAGTTTTAGGTTTATTTATTTATTGATTTTTTTTTTACATAATTTTATTTTATGTATTGTATAAATATTATAATATATTTATTTTCCTACATGGCAATACTGAGATTGAATTGTTGCAGAAAATGCCCTAATGCATAATTACAAAATACTTGAAAATTAAAAACAATTATTCAAAACGTATTTAAAAATATTCTTCTGTGCAAATAAAATGTTAAATATTTATTTTCTTGCATAATTAATGTTAAGGCATGCAAATGACCAATACTTTAATAAATATTTATATATTGGTGGTTGCATGTCTCAAAACTGATACAGTTGATTTATAATAATAAAGGCTTTCATTTCTAGATCCTGAGAAAAAAGTATTTATCCAGTAATCCATTTGTCCACGAGGTTTTTGTCATTTCAAATGTAATATAGTTTTGTAATATCTAATGTAATAATAATAATAATTACAGGTCATTACAAGTAAAATGTTTTATACTGCGATAAAGACATCATTAGGCTGAATATAAATAAAACATATTTTTTTATACCCATGCTTTTTACATTGTATTTCACAATAGTTATTTGAAACATGCAAGTAGTCTCATGCATTAAATATGCTTTAAAATCACTTTTGTCAATATTAATTTCAATTTAATTATGTAGGCATCTAAAAGGACGTCTCACCCATGTTTGAAGCAAGGTACTCAGGAAATATTGCATTGTTTCACACTATAGATTGCAGTGCTCCGTTTAGATGAGTTTATCCCTCACATATCTCTCTTTTACATTCATATTTCCTTTAGGATGCTTTACAATGATATATTTGTGCACATATAATAAATAAGTCAGTAGCAAAGACAAAACTGACACTAATTTAACAAAAACACTGAAGATCAGAGTCCACACCTATTGAAGGAGTGGAGAGACAGTGATACGGCCAATTCAGTGGATGATGAAAATTGGTTGGCCATGATGGGTAAGGGCCGATCGAGGGAATTTGGCCAGGACACCATGGTTTCTTTTTATGAGAAGTGCAATGGGATTTTTAATGACCACAGAGAGTCAGGACCTCGGTTTAACGTCTCATCAGAAAGACTGCGCTCACTGCTGTCTGTGCGTCCCCTTCACTATACTGGGGCATTAGGACACACAGACTGCAGGCTAGCGCTCCCTGCTGACCTCTAAAGGGGGGTCATTTATGCTGAGCACTGTGTGTAAAATAAATAAAACTGAAGAAGGTATTCTTTAAAAAGCTTTATATACTTAGTCTGCTGGACCACAGCTAGGATTTTATGTTAAACACTTCCCAAGCAAAACTATCCAGCATTTGTCATTAATTTAAATGGAGCAGGCAATATCAGCTTTGTTAAAAACAGCAACTCAGCTCTGTGTGTGAATCTAGTTTGTAACTTTTGTTATTAATAGCGATGAGGTGCAAACGAGGAGGTACAGGATTTGAAGATTACAGCACAGTCCTGTTAATGGCTTTGTAAACACACAGCCGGTTTTATTCTGGATGTGTGCGTTTGTGGCGTTCACTGCAGTGAGTCTCCTGGTGTGATATTGATCCTGTTCTCGTCTTTCTGAAACTAGAGATCCTGATGTATGAGCAGACATCCTATCCCATCATTCTACTACATGCTTCAGCTCTCGTACAATATAGTACACTGT